TGTACAGGAGCCTTTTTGAGGTACCTTAAAATACGGATGATGGCATTCCAATGTCCAAGATATGGAGTCTGCATAAATTGACTAATTACACTCCAACTGCAAAAGATAGATAAGGTCTCGTAATAGTAAGATAAATTAGCTTTCCAACAAGCCGTCTATATATCTCTGGATCAGAGAATAATTCACCTTCTTCTGCCGTTAGCTTCTGATTTGGGTCCATAGGACTGTCTATTGGTCTACAGTCAATCATGTCTGTTTCTTGTAATATATCAAGAGCATACTTCCTTTGAGAAATTACAATTCCATCTTTTAACTGAGCTACTTCAATGCCCAAGAAGTATTTGAGGCTTCCAAGATCCTTGATTTGAAAATGTCTACACAAGTACTCCTTTAGTTGAGATATTCTAGTAGTGTCATTTCTTGTAATGACTATATCATCAACATATACTATTAGGTAAACACATTTTCCGAGAAATGTATGACAGTAAAAGATAGAATGGTCTCCTTTACTACGTCTTAGCCCAAATTTTTGAACAATGGAGCTAAATTTTCCAAACCAAGCACATGATGATTGCTTGAGACCATATAGAGAACGATGCAATTTGCATACTATACCAGACTCCCCCTGAGCAACGAACGCAGGAGGTTGCTCCATGTAAACCTCTTCCTCAAGATCACCATGGAGGAAGGCATTTTTTATATCCAATTGATGAAGTGACCAGTAACAAATGACTGTCATGACAAAGAAGAGAAGAATAGTAGTCATCTTGGCCACGGGAGATAGTGTCACAATAATCAAGACTATAAACCTGAGTGTACCCTTTTGCAACCAATCGAGCTTTGAGTCGATCAACTTGACAACATACACCCATCGGCAACCAAAAGCCTTCTTACCCGGTGGGAAGGGCACGAGCTTCCAAGTATAACTATGTTCAAGAGCCTGCATCTCTGCAATCATGGTTTGTCGCTCTCCAGGATGATCAAGTGCTTCATTCACATTCTTGGGAATAACAATAGAAGATTTTGAAGATAAAAGGGAATAATAAGAAGGCGATTATTTGTGATAGCTAAGACAATTATAAATGGGATGTGGATTTCGAGTGGAACGAGTACCTTTTCTGAGCAATGGGTTAGCCTGAATCACCTTCACCAGGAGTTGTGGTATCAAGGGACGAGGGAGAAGTATCTGAAGTAGGGGATTTACCATGTTCTTGGAAAACCAGACTATCTGTCTGGGAGGTATGAATAGGTGGAGATGATGACCCAAGAGGACTTTGATCAAGACTTTGACCAGGATTGACAGAGACATTGGAAAGATTGTACTCAAACACTAGAATAGGGAGGCCCTGCTGTATGACATGAACATCATGAATAAATAGAGAGAAGTAAGGGGTCTGTTCAAAAAATGTGACATTGGCAGACATGTAGTATTTCTTCGTTTCAGGAGAGTAACACCGATACCCTTTCTGAATATGGGAATAGCGCAAAAAGACACATTTGAGAAAGCGAGCAGAAAACTTGTCTAACCCTAGAGACATGTCATGAACAAAACATACACAACCAAAAACACGAGGAGAAATGTGGGAAAGAGGATTATCTAGAAACATAATGGAGACAGGGACCTTATGATTGAGAGAGGATGATGACATCCGATTAATAAGAAAACATGCAATGGACTGGAATATGGGCACTAAGCACAAGGATACGAGCAATTTCAACTAAATGTCTATTTTTCCTTTCTGCTATACCATTTTGCTGTGGCGTATGAGGACAAGTGGACTGATGCAAGATACCATATGAATTCAACACGACAGAAAAAGCAGATGAAAAGTACTCATTGGCATTGTCACTTCTCAAGATTTTGATCACTTGCCCGAATTGATTCTTAATTTTATTTAAAAAAGATGTGAAGATGGATAATTATTCAGAGCGATCTTTCATAAGATAAGCCCAAGTACATCTCAAAAATTCATCAATGAAAGTAACAAAATACCTAAAACCAAAAGATAAGACACGACTAGGTCCCCAGATATCAGAATGGATGATAGAAAAACTAGAATTACCTTTTGATTGAGACCTTTTGGGAAAGACAGATCTAACATGTTTGCCTAGTTGACATGACTTACAATCTAAGGTCTGGAGACTACTAAGTTCAAGACACATTTTTTTTAACTTGGATAGATGAAGGTGGCCAAGCCGATCATGCAACATTTTAGGACTATGGGCTGCAACACATGACACTCGTGGACGAGATCCAAAATGATATAATCCTCCTGCTTCATATCCTTCTCCAATCTGTCTCCCCGAACCACGCTCCTGTATAACAAAAGATATCGAAGGTTACTGAACAGTTTAACATTTTGGTTAACTGTCTTAAGGAAATTAAATTGAAGGGACAAAAAGAACAAATTTTAGATTTAAGGAGGGAGACAGGATGACTTGACCGACTCCTTTTGAAGAAGTTTTAGAGTTATTTGCAAGGGTTATAAAATAAGGTTTGTCTTGAAATGAAATGGTTGAGAACAAGGAGGTATTACTAGAGATGTGGTCAGAAGCATCGGAATCAATTACCTATGAATTGTGACTTTCCATGGATTGAGAGATGCAAGTTGTTGATGTACTTGGAGCTTGAGATGGTTGTGCCAAGCTATTGGACTTGAGTCGTAGGTATTCTTAATACTCGTCCTTAGTGAACTTTGGTTCAGTCGTTTCAGCCTGAGAGACATTGGCTGTTTTGGATGGAAAACCGTGTAAGAAGTAACAATTTTCCTGGGTGTGACCCATCCTTTTGCAATATGTGCACTGAGGACACCCACGACCATCACATCCGCCTCCTCTAGTTCCACGCCCTCCTCTTCCACAGTGGCGACCATAACATATGGTTTTACTAGAGCAAGAGTTTTCAGAGTTCTATGTGTTGGGACACCAACCATGCGTTGGATTAAGGTGTCCATGGAAGGGACCTCATGAGAGGTTAAAAGTTGATCTCTGATATGGTTGAAGTCTGGATGTATAGTGTGAAGAATCATCACCATATAGTATTTGTCAAGCTTCTTCTTCATTTCATCTGGACCTCCAAGAACATCCGCAGGTCTTCCACGACTGATTGTGCTTCATTCGTGAAGGATATCATATCATGGTTGATCATTTTTAGAGATGCCAGCTTGTTTGCCAAATCATAAAGGTGTTGGATATCGTTGGCATATATGTTGAGTCCTCTTTCAAAAAGAGTGACATGTCTTGAAGGCCCTAAGAGACATTAAAAGTCTTTGCTCCACAAATTGCCACAACAGGGCACACAACTGAAAATCTGCTTGCTTCCATTGTTCGACTTTTTCTTCAGGCACATGGCTTCCGTCTTTCTCAAGATGGTTATGATGTCCTTGGCCAAGGAACCACATCTCGATGGCAGCGGACCAAGAGAGGTAATTTTGTCTGTTTATCTTCTTGGAAGTAATGGAAGGACTTCCTAAGAATGAAATAGCACTTCCAACACTTCCAGTTGCCATTTCTGATCAAGAGGAAAAAAACAAAGAGCAAATACACAAAACAGCGAAGATTTTCGAAAGCCCTAAGGAGATTTCCGAAAGGGGGACGCCTGGACTTCACCAAAACTTAGTTTGGAAGGTCAAAATGAACAGAGGAGGTTCGGGCGAAAGCTATTGAGGTGGTGCGATGACGATTCGGCGAGTGCACGGCGACGCGTGGACTGCACGCGCCTGTTTGCAGCGGATGGAGATGGTGCGCATAGCAGCGCATCGCGAGGAGTCTCCCTTCGGCACCAGTAAGGTTAGCTGTCACTCGAAGAGGCGATCCAAATCCGGTGGTTTCCGAACGAAACTACGGTGGCTGTTGGCAGTGGCTGACAGTGTTCGACAGTCCAACAGAGTAAAGGATAGCTTCAAATAGTGATAAAACTGAGCTTGGATGGCTGCGAACAGCGGTGGCTAATGGTGGACAGCCACAGACAGCGGTGACTGATGGTGGTGGACAAGACCAGACAGAAACCAGAACGGAATCGACCCGCTCTGATACCAACTTAAGATTAATAGAGAAAAAATATATCTTCAGGGCTCTGAGACCCTTCTCTCTTTCTTCTATTTATAATGGAAAATCTGATACAATGAGACATAGAAGACTAAGTAAGAGACTGCAACTAGGACCCTAGGTGCATACCTAGATCCAGATGTAGGAAGTTTCCTATACTCAACACCCTATACTTAGGTCTAATGATAATACTAGGAAGTAATGATTCTAACAGAAGTCAATGTTTCTGTCATATATTCATAAAATATGACCACAAACACTTAAAATCATTCGTTCCTTCAACATTTTAAAATTCTTTGGTAATTGTAAACTTGTAATAACAGCTTAAACATGCTCATCATTATTAGAATTCAACATTGTCCACATGGTCCTTAAGCAGGCATTCATCTTATTTAAAATTAGGGGTCTATTACATAATGAAAACTTCATAAACTCGTGCTTGAAACCATAGATGCATCCATGATGACAAGAAAGCAAAGGCTTTTATGTCAAGTTAAAATTATCCTCTACTATCATGCACATAATATCATAGTTGATAGAATTATACTTCGACACATTGTAACCAGCATAGTGAACAATAAACAGTTGTCCTTCCATTTAAAAAACTAAAGCCACCACGGTCATAATTCAGAACTCTAAAGGTCATAATATGTTACAAATTGCAATGGTCTGTGTGGTTAATAGGGATATTTATCACACATATGATATTTTCCGTTTGTTCACGTAGGTTGCACAATGGAAGTAGTATTGAATTTGTCAAGCTTGGATATAAGATTGAACCCAACTCATCTCTCAAAAAGACTACTGCTAATCTCTTTTACTATGGTTAGGTCCTTTTAATATAAGATAATACATAAGCAAACCAGTTTAAACAGAATGAACCTGAAACAACTTCTATTAGCAACTTATGAACTTAAACAAAATCTTATGAAATTACAGACCTATTTGAAATGTTAGCATTGTTTCACCTTTAAAGCAGATCTATGAGTATAAATTTGACATAATACGTTGACCGTCATTATAAATTTGTTCAACACCAGAATTGGAAATGTACAAAGAATCTTACCCTGAGTAAGAAGACTTTGTTGACAACCAAAACAAATATTAGGAAAACTGCGGCTAGAGTCATTTTGAGACGGAGAGACCTCATCAAACATCACAACAGGAAATAGATGATGATATGACCTTGCCAAATGAGGTGAAGAAATAAGGGTCAATCCACAGACTCGACATTCAGTGGGAAGCTCACAGACACGAACTTTGCACCTTGGGCAAGTGTATCCCCCTCCGGCCTTAGCCTCTTCATGGCATGTGCATATTGCAACAGAACCCTCAGCTGATCGTTGTGGGAAGCCCATCTTAATTAAATTAGCAGTAGCATACTCTGCTATTGCTGGAGGTGGTGGTGCATACTCCAGGATCAACTCTTTAAAGTGGGACTGCGCGACATGTATATAAATATATGAAGCATACATTCAGGAATTAACAAATATTTGAAAAATGCAGACAAATTCAAAAGTAATCAGAAATAGTAATCGTTCAAACAAAGGCTGAAATATAGAGAAACTACATCTACAGAGGTTATATCCATCAAAATCAACAAACAAACCTCATCTAGTGCAACAGAATAAGTCCCTCCAGTTTCCTGGCAGAGATGTTTACATACAAACATTTCGGCCGCAAGACCAATGACTGAGCACCTTATTTTACTCTTTTTGCATTTTTGAATGGTTTCCATGAGATCACCAGGATCACAAGTGCTGAGAGCCGAATATAAGATCAGAGCTTCTCGATGACCATATGATGGGATTTGATTTAGATATCCAAGAACAAGCTCTAGTGCATTTTGTAAGGAGGCATCACCTGAGCATTCCAGTTTACCCATCAAAGCATTAATGTGAGACTCAGGACTGCCACCAAGTTCTGTTATGCAATGAGCAACACCATCTTTTATAGTAACCAGACCAACATGACTAAGTGGATTCTGATCAAAGAATTCCCTGATAAATACCTCAACCTGTTTTGCAATCACGGCCATCCTACTTGGTCGGAAGTCTCTCTCTGAAGCTGCCTTCACATGATAACAGAAACCAAATTATATACAATAAGAGGTTAAAAGTATATATATATATAACAGCAATGTTCTACATTTTATTTCATTCTATTCAATTTTATATATCTTATTATATGTTTCTAGCAGTAATTTTATTGTTATCACAAATATTACCTCAATTAGTTGAACAAGATACTTCAGTTATCGTATAAGCAGTTTTTTAACATCTTTTTGGGCATAAAAACAGCTCAACATAGAAACACTAGTATGATTGTGATACGCTCATGAACAACCTACTTCAGTTTTATTCAATGCTAAGCAAGAAACCTGTTATATTCATCTTTCCAAATTTTATTGACAAAGTGTACCTATCATGATCAAACATCCTCCATTCAAAATCCAATTTTTAAGTAATCAAATCATCACTCCATGCCATACAACTTAGAAGCATAAACAGAGGCTATGATCAAATACCTTAGACAGGTCCACAACAATGTACAGGTATCGTATAAGCCCCTTCTGAATCCGTGCAGTAGCCGCTGTGGCAGCAAGGGTACGAAGGCGCCTGCGATATTGAGCATGGTATATAGCTGTAGTATCAATGGGGCGAAGAAGTCCAGACTCATCCTCCTGCAAAGCCTCCCATGATCTATCCTCCGCGTAAGTTCTCTCCCAGGCTTCAAGGTCTGCACCATCATCCTCATCATCATCCTCTACGTCTCCATTAAGTGGCCTTTCAGCAACATTATTCATAATTTCTAAACCAAAATATGCAACAGTTAACTAAGCAATGACAGCAGAAGTAGTAACCAAACAAAATCTTCATCTTATACTAAAACTTCAGCACATCACTAATAAATTTCGTGCAACCAAACACGCAGAAATGAATCGTTGCACAAAATTACACAAAAAAAAAGGCATAACTCGATCATTACGAATTGCGTTACCTAGATATTAATTAAGGAAATAAAAATTAAATGGAAATAGAAAATTGAAGAGATGTAAAGTGAAAAGTAATTGCAAGGTGATTTAAAGAATCTAGGCGGTAACATTGAAGATGTTAATCTTGAAGTGGGAACCTACGTACGGCATTTGCAATGATCGAAAAGGAAATTAATGAATCTAAAGAGCGTAGAAATTAACTGAAATATGCAGCAGGGACTTCAAATTGAGCACAAATACCGAAGTGGAAGAAAACCAAGTATTGAGGGTGCCTCTCGCTCTCTGCAACTCTACACTCCAAATCCCCTAACGCTAGTCACACTGTAACACGCCCAAGGTCTAACCTTTTCAGTTCCCAAACCCAAAGATTGGGCCTTTTTGGGCTTTTTATTACACATGGGAAATGTTTGGTGAGGCTTTTTCTCCCTCTGCTTTTATTGTTTTTAATTAAAATGTGTTTTTAGCGTTTTTAACAATTTTGAAATTTTATTTTAATTTTTTTTGTTTTATTTTGAAATGCATCACGTTTTCGTCTCATTATTAAGCGTTGTCTAAATTATTGACGTGTAAGTATTACCATGAAATTATTATGGGTAAGTATTATTTATGGATAAATCTAATTGTCTTATTATAATGTCTAAACTTTAAAATATACACTCCTCACGAATATTTTTTGCTAATATTATTAATTTTTTTATCTAACTTGAATGTGTAAATTGTTTAAAGATATTGTCATTTGTTCTAGTATAGAAATTTAAATATTAGAGAAGTCAGGAGATCAACAAGTACCAAAAATAAGTATTTAACGTAAAAAAGAAATTATCTACTCTCTAAGAACATTTGGTTCACTGTGAGGTGAAGTAAAACTATTAACAACCTCATGGTATCAACAAAGAGCATGATGAATAATGAAAGAGAATTACAACATGAAGTTGAAGAAAATCATACAAGTGAAGCAACATGTTGATCAAACTAAGAAAAGAAATTGAAAAACTCAAAAAGAAAAGTGTTAAATAAAGAATATGACAAAAACTTGAGTAACACTCAGGTGGACTAGATAACCCAAGTGCAAAACCAATGCAGCAACAAACAAAAACACTGACTTGTTACTATCCATTATCGCCTCTAACTATTTCAAAATTACAAAAAGTCGAGAGTAGTCCCAAAACCAGGTCGTACTTCAATGCCTCAACTAGAACCTCCTACAACCTAAGAGGACATCACCAATATTCTTACGTCGATCGAAGCATGGAGAGGCCATTACTGACAACATGGAAGAACCTAATGATAGATCGGTATGATAGAACTACTAACTTAGATGAACACATTGACGTTTATATAACACAATATACAATGGAAGATTATTCTTTGTAATGTCTTCCCCACCTCCCTTAAAGGGGCTGCATTTAGTTAGTCTACTAGGTTATTGTCATGCTCCATAAATTATTTTAAAATACTTGCAACCAAATTTGCCACATAATTTGCAACTAGTCGACCACCCAACCTCACATCCATTATCCTTGTCAACATTAGGTAAGACAAAGGAGAAACACTCAATATGAACCTAACCCTACTCCAAGAAAGGTCTCCATCCTAGCCAAAGGTGACCATATTAAGCATTGTCGCTATCACTGCAACTACAATCACATGACGGATGATTGTATTATCCTTAAAGATAAAATTGAGGAACTCATTCAAGCCAAACATTTGTGCAAGTTCATCTAGATAAGCCACAACAGCGAATGGAGGTACACCTCGAAATAAGAGGATTATACTAGAAGAGAAGCACATCCTCAAGGCCACATGCGAGATGATAGGGAAACCTAAAAAGATCAACCCCTTTGTAGTGTCAAAAACATAATAGTTAGAGATTTTGTTAGAAGGGGACCATCTAATTCCACAAGAAAGAAACACCTAAGAGTGGTATAATTCATCAATGTTGTCACCATTAAGATGAGACAAAGGATGTTAGCCATAACATTTATTGACGATGACTTTCAGGCATTCAACCTAGAACTAGTGTTATCAAATATCCATCATGGCGAAAATTTGTCTCGAATTTTTTGTTGGTCGCCACATCAAGATGGTGGTGAATTGTGTTTTCCATGGCGATCGATATGTCCATCACAATATGACATTTCGAAATGGTCTTGGCGAAAATCTCGCCCAAACAGTGTTGTGTCGCACAATAATGGTGGGAGAAGAAGTATTCGGTCCATGCAACCTGACCTAACCAAACCATAATCCTAAAACTTTGTCTATTAAGATTAGGGTTACTATTATGGTGCATTGAAGAACAATATTTCTTTATTCTTCCTCTTTGATTAAACACAGTTCTTTCTCTTGCCACTGTCGCTATTATCACCTCCACCAATGTATCCATTGCCTCCATCATCCAGCTTTGCCCCCTTCCTCCACTGCTTTATTCTTCCTCTTCCATTGACGTTGCTTTCTTCATTTCTACTTTTCTTTTCTTTTTTTCCTTCTTATCTTCTTTTTTTTTTCCTTTGTGTCTTTTATGTTTTTTCTTTTTCTTTTTTCAGATTTTCTTTTTCTCATTTTCAAAATTTTAAAAAATTTAAAGAATTTTTCCATTTTTTTCTATTTTTATTTTTTTATATTTTAGTTATATTCATGCATTTTATTTATATGTATGTAGTATTTTTTTTATCTCGTGATGCTTCTGCCATATAACCCATTATGGAATTTAATATATTTTCATAAAGGATTTTTAGGTTGTCTATATTTTTCATTATCCATTAGCTAAAACAAGATGACCCTTTTGTCATCATGATAGAAGTCGTCAATGTTGTAGTTATGAAAACATTGATCAACTAAGGAAGTTTTGTGAACATCTTATAGTGGAAAACCTTTAAGTGTTCAGAGCTTGCGAAAGATTTATCCAACCCTATAATGACTAAATTGTGGGATTCTCGGGAGACATATTAACACAAAAGGATTAATATTTAATAATAGATATTAAAACCTCCTATAACATACTTTTTGGCATATCCTCGTTAAACACCCTCAATGTCATCGTGTCCACTCCTCACTTGATGATGAAATTTCTCTCAACTTCAAGAACAATAGTCACAATCCACAAAGACCAAAAACAACAAGAGAATAATACATGACAAGTTTGAAAGTAACATCAACAATATCGACCAACATCCCTAGATTTAATGGAGGAGGTGGTAGCTATAAACAACATAGATCCAAGAATTAACAATGACGCTAAGTAGAACCACGAGAAGTGACAATACCTTTCGAAATAAGAAAGAAGGACAAAACAAAAAATTAGACTCAACCTTATCCCAAGAGGATAAAGGCTTCATATAAACAACATTGTTAAAGAATGTTGATTTGTTTACATGGGAGGTTACCGACATGCTAAGAATAGATCTGAGAATAATCTCTCACAAGTTGTCGGTTTGCTAAGAAGCAAGACTGGTATCTCAGAAGAAGTGAAAAAAGCACTAGTGCATAAAGACCCTTTTACGTTACCTAATTCTCGTCGGATCCAAAAATAACCGACTTAAAAAAAACGCAGTGGTAATTTTGTAAATATTGGACGGGACTTTTACGTTGGACCCATAAAAGGGTGACGTAAAAAAGGTCTTTTACGTCGGACCAATAGGGGTCCGACGTTAAAAGCTGAACCAGCTTTTACGTCGGACCCCTATTGATCCGACGTAAAATACCTCTTTTACGTTGGTCCCTTATGGATCCGAACTAAAAGTCACGTTTTATTTTATTCTTGCACCACTCCATCGTCTCGCACAACAAGGATTTTATAGAATGACGACGAGAACGATGACGATAACGACGATGACCAGATCCTCTCAAGATACATTTCGACCACAGTGAGTGACGAAAATACTTTCATTGTGTCCCATTTGTGGTGGTTGATATTTCTCTCCGATTGAATTCAAATTTTACAACGTTTTTTGTATACTTGAGGTTAGTGTTTTATGTGTCTCATCTCCTCTTTTATGTTAAAATTGAATGTTTTCATTGAATTGTTATTGATATTGAACTATTGTAGTTAGTGTTCTATGAATTTGAATCTTACTTTTTTTTTTGTAATTTGTATATTAGGGGTTTAGGTTGTTATTTTTGTTTTGTGTATTAGGGTTTTATGATGAAAAGAAAACGGAAAATGTTCGAAGCAAGATAACTTTTGACTTAAATGTCGGATTTGGACGCACAATATATCAAAACGAAGAGAAAAAGACGAATAAGAGGGGGTAAATGCCTAAAGGAGATTTGTCCTAACAATTTTTCCAAAATATGTTTCTAAGCACATGTAATACACAAAAGTTTATGTGGGTATAACCAAAGGTAATTGCTTTCAACATTTGTTAAATTCATTTACTTTTGTGCGTATTGCATATTAACTGAAGTCAAATTAATGTTTCAGGCATTTCAAGATTCATTCATCTCCACTATAAACATGATATTACAAAATAATAAGGTTTTTCGTTCAACATTTATAGTTTGTGTTGTATTATGTACTTTAACATTTACGTAACTTAGTTTTTGTATTAGCTTTTGTCGGTGTTAAGTGGTAAAAAGTTGATATAATTATGCCTTGAATTGTTATGAAACCACTTAACTTATGTTAATTCTAATATATTTTTCTCCCAATATAGGATGAATTCGAGAATACCTTGATACAAAAGTAAGGAGCATAATTGTCAACATAATTGGAGTAAAATTGAAAGAAAGAATAGCGCTTAAGCGAATAAATGATGCGAGGCCCGACCCAAATTCTCTTATAAAAAGATAAGTTGTGTTTTGAGAAAAGGAAGCAGTCTTGGGGAGAGGAGACACGACTACTGTTAGGGTTTTGTCTAATCTTCATCAATTCTTCACTTCTTCATCAATTGGAGCATTGTAATGACCAACATGAGTGATTAACTTCATTCTCTTAGGATTCGGTGCACTTCCTTTGAACTCTTTTGTATCATTGTGATATTTTGAGATATTAATCTATGCTTTGATGTTGTTATTCTTATCATTTATGTTTTGGAATGATTTATTCTTGATTGTTTGAGGTATGATTGGAAAATATATCTTGAACCCTAGATCACGGTAAGAATATTTGTTACGTTAATTGTCAGGAATGGAATGAATGTATCAATTGCTTAACACCCTAACCCTAATGCTGGAAAATCTGTTAGTTGTGTGAGGAATCAACATTTATTAGATTTTCTTATGAATTTCATGTGTGAGGAATCAACATGGATGATTTGAGTAGGTGGCATCAACATTGTTAGGTTAATTGACGTTCTTAATTGACATAACCATTACAAAAGAGGGATAAGGAAGGAAGTCAATTCTAAGTACCTTTAATTGATATTTTCTCAACAATTTACAGTTCTTTGTCATTTAAATT